ATAGTTTAATTCTATTATCCCTTCTTATATATATATATATTCAATAAGGATTTTGCGATTAATTATAATAGAGTTCCATAAATCAAAGCAATGACTCGACAGACGAGTCTCTCTCCGCCTACACAAGACTCACGATGTGACCTTGACACTGCGAACTGAGGACGTTTCAAAGGTGCCGAGTCTGCAAAATGATAAAAGCGCGAGAAATGAAATAGAAGTCTTCAAACTAATCCTTACGATGCAGCTTCCCCTCATCACTTATTGTGTGCGATGACTGCAAAAAAAAAGTCACATCTCATCTTTCTTTTTTTATTCACGATCCTTTTTTCTATTAAATTGTTTTTATTTCAATTATATATGTATTATGAAGTGGAAAAAATTTAATTTTTTTTTGAATCAATTAATAATATTAATTTACTTAAAGCAAATGGCAGTTAAAAATTTAAGATACGCGCTTTTATATATATATATATATAGTGAACATGCTGCGACACTGATTGCAAAAGTTACCTCTACAGCATTACATGTTTACAGTATTTTCTACTGACGGGCGGTTACCGTTTTTCTTCATGTAACATGAGACAGAATCTCGAAGATTACAATCAAGAATGGTTGTAACAACCCAACGTACTTGAAGAAAACAAATTTAAAGTAACAGGACGATTAAATGTCGACTTTTTTTTTTGTTTTTACTTTTCTACACTTATTAAATAAAAAAAAAATTGTCATTCGTTACATGTTCATTTCTTAAACAAATTTTTTGTAATTTTCACCTTTTTTTCTACATATACAGAAAAATGCTTTATTTGAACCAAATATATTTTATTTAAAACAAATATATCATTTCTCTAGATATATATATACATCATATATTCTAAGTGAAAGGTAATAATTTCTATTATTATAACAAAAAGAGAAAAAAAGAATTAAAAAAAAAAAAAGATTAGGAAAATTGGGTCAATTTGGAATGATCGCATAAATCATTTAATTGACAAGCAGCAACATTTTAAGATTCTTAAAAAGGCTGAATGGTAAAACTTGGCAGCTTGTTGAGATTGCTAACAATGAAATTTAATTAGTTGCAAGTGACTTTGCATCGTACATGCCGAGGTTAAGTCCATCACGTAATAAAAAAGAATGCCAATGTCGAACTCAACCTAGACTTGTATTTATATATATATATATGTGTGTGTGTGTATATGTGTAGATGCTGAAAAGAGAAGACCAGTGAAAAGGCGCGGTCGTTACAAATCGTTTTACTATCTCTCCCCTATAGTGAACTGTACATAGACTGCGAGTAATAAACGCTTGCAGGTCACGTGACCGCTATTGTGTTTTCTCAATGTGGTTGCCCCCCCTCCCTCCCCCTTCCAATGAAGCAACTGATTCTATCCGTTCTCCACATACACTTTCAAGGTTACATATATATACCTATCCGGAATTATTATCAATTCCTCAGGTTATAATAATTATTATTGAATCAGTTACTTTTTAATTAAATACAATTTTTATTTTTATTAGTATTCTAAAATAATAATAAAAAAAAAACTATCATATTACCTGTGTCCGAACAGAAAAAATATGTATTCAAAATGAATTCAATTAGAATGTGTTCGGATTTTTTTTTGTGAGATGCTATTGTTCTATTAACGATAAGCTTTAGCTAGATTAATATAAAATATTAGCTAAGGAAGCTACATCTTCGCTAAAGTAGCTGAATATTTGATAAAGTAACATAATTTCAGCTAAATATTAGGTTAAATATTATCTACTTCAGCTAAATATTAGCTAAGATAGACAAATATTATCTAAAGTAGATAAATATTGGCTAAATATTGGCCAAATATTATCTACACTAGTTGAATATTTGCTAAATATTAGCTAAGGTAGTTAAATATTATATAAAGTGGTTTAATTATAGCTAAATATTGGCTAAAGTGGATAATATTTGGAATTATTTTCCTAATGTAGCTAAATATTATCTGAAATAGTTGGATATTGGCTAAATATTTGCCAAATATTATTTACACTAGTTGAATATTGGCTAAATATTGGCTAAGGTAGTTAAATATTATATAAAGTGGTTTAATTATAGCTAAATATTGGCTAAAGTGGATAATATTTGGAATTATTTTCCTAATGTAGCTAAATATTATCTAAAATAGTTGGATATTGGCTAAATATTGGCCAAATATTACCTACACTAGTTGAACATTTGCTAAATATTGGCTAAGGTAGTTAAATATTATATAAAGTGGTTTAATTATAGCTAAATATTGGCTAAAGTGGATAATATTTGGAATTATTTCCCTAATGTAGCTAAATATTATCTAAAATAGTTGGATATTGGCTAAATATTGGCGAAATATTTTCTACACTAGTTGAACATTTGCTAAATATTGGCTAAGGTAGTTAAATATTATATAAAGTGGTTTAATTATAGCTAAATATTGGCTAAAGTGGATAATATTTGAAATTATTTACTTAATTTAGCTAAATATTATCTGAAATAGTTGGATATTGGCTAAATATTAACTAAGAGAGCTAAATATTACCTAAAGTAGCTTAATTTTAGTTAATTATTACCTGACGTAGCTAAATACTAGCTAAATTTAAGCTAAACATTAACTAAATATGATATAACGTAGCTTAATATTGGCTAAATATTAGTTAAGGTTGCTGAGTTTTACCTAAAGTAACTTAATTTTAGCTAAATTTTAGCTTAATATTAGCTAAATTTTATCTAAAGTAGTTAAATATTGTCTCAATATTAGCTAAGATTGCTTAATATTATCTAAGATTGCTTAATTTTAACTAATATTATCTTAGTTAGATAATCTTTACTTTTATTTTCCTAATAATTTAATATTATTATTAATAGTTTAATATTTAAACTAAATATTAGCTAAATATGATCTAAACGGTGCTAAATATCGGCTAAATATTAGCTATGGTGGCAAAGTTTTAGCTAAAATAGCTTAATTTTAGCTAAATATTGGCCAAATATTAGCTGAATATTAACCAAAGTAGTTTAATATTGGCTAAACAGCCAAATATTATCTAAATTAGCCAAATATTATCTAAATCAACCAAATATTAGCTAAATTTAAATATTAGCTAACATAGTAAATTTTTTTTCTCAGTGTGTCATCCTTTCGTTCTGTCAGCGGTGTATTGTTATAAGAAAAAAAAATTTGTTCTCCTCGGAAATACAATGTCTGCTATTTCAATTTCACGCTAAATTTTCTTAACCATTTTCTCATAATTCTTTTAGTTTCTCGTCACGGATGATTTTCTGACTAACGCGTATATATCTCATTTTACGATTGAAATAGACGAGCTATTGACACCATTATTCTTTCTTGGCTCTTTTTTTTTTCTTTTTCTTTCTTTTTTTTCTGTTTATTTCGTCGAATGAATGCTGTTTGTGTTCATCTCTCTATAACTGAATTATTTTTTTCTATCGAATAAATCGTATAGTTAGTCTTCATGTCGGTAGTTATATTTATCTCATCTGAACCATAGCTATTTATTGCTACTTGCAATATACAATTTATGTTATATAGTAAAGTCATATATATATATATACAAGAGCTTATTAATTTTATGATCCTATCTCTTTTTCCTTGCATTTTTTTTTTTCTATCGATGATTAGTGTGTACAGATTTTCATTTTGTTACAATTTTTCTGTAACATTCTTCTGTTTGTAGATCAAGGATTTGAAAAAAATAAATACTCAGAATAGCTTTACAATTATAAAATTTAATTTGGGATAAGTTTATTTTTAAAAAAAAGATATGAATATTAAAAAAAAGAAGGATCAATATTTTTATTTTATCCGATTTAAAGGTAAATTTCTTGAGTGATTGTTTGGAAAAAAAAAAAAAAAAAAAAAAAAAGAATTGGTGAGATGCACGAGAAGATGCAACAAGTAGGGTTGGCGCGTGGCGAGGCGGAGTGAATCTGAGTTGTGTTGGAGGCTGAAATAAGTTTGAGGTAAGGAAAAGTAGTTGAACGGGTTGGCGGATATTTACCCAGAATTATCGGGAGCTAACGAGCGGCATTGATTAACGGGCTGCTTAATGCGACCCTCAAAATATACAGTTCAAAAATTGAGCACGCGTTACAAAATATATGAGATTTAACCATATTAATATTTATTTATATCTATAACAAAAATTATACTTTCTAAATTTCTTTTTTAAAATTATTTTGCTTTTCACTTTGTAAAATTAATTATAGTTATAACTTCTTTAGAAAAGAATTTTCAGTTAATGAAATTTTGAAAAAAAATGGTGTCTCGTTTCAAATGCACGGTCACGTCCTTGAATCCGCGAGGAGTTATTTAAATAAGTACTTCACCTTACAGGGGCGTTGCCAATAATCGAAGGCTAGGGATGAAGCCGCGCCTCTCTTTCTCTCTTTTTCTTTCTCTTATAAGTTCGTTTTCCAACGAAAATTGCTATAATTTTCAATATCAATTCTAGGAAGTAAAAATTGGAAAAAAAAATTTTGCATATACATTTATCCCTAAAAAGAATTTTTCCATGAAACAATAAATATCTTATCAAAAAAATTTTTTTTTACCCCTAATAGCCTTTTAAAAAGCATTTATTCATTTATATAAATCAGTATAATGGAATTCAAAGATTTTAAACCGTAAAAGTCTCATCTCTAAAAAGGTGATGTCATTCATCCCGGCTCGTAAAATATCTAACTAGATTTAGAAGTTGCATCTTACAGTTGCAGTCGTAAATTTGAAATTTTCTTTTCTGAGATCTTTTTATGTGCGTCATAAAAACATTTCTGAAAAGAATTAAAGAATCACTTAACTCTTCTGTAATGTTATACATATATATATTATGTTATGATCGAGAAGTGGCAAAAAAAGAAACAAGTATTAAAAATTTTACAACTTATATAAATCACTTTTTTTTTTATTTAAAAAAAAATTTTTTCTTTTTTATTGTTAAAATGTGTGAATTTTTTTATTTTTCAGGCGAGGTGTCTGGTGAAAACGTAGGAACAGGAGCACGTGGAGGTCGAGGTGAAGCAGCTGATTTAGCGACACATACTGAATCTAACGACGGGGCAATCCTGGCCGCGAATACAGCGGTCGACGCCCGAGGTGGAAGCCCCCAGGGTGCCCACCTTTCGGGGGCAGCCACTCCAAGACCTCCAAGAGGAAGAAGGCGGCAAAATCAAAACGGCCTCGATACACCTCAGGTTAGAATTTATTTTTTTTTTTGATAATCTTAGGAGCAAAAAATTATAGGTTGTTTTGAAATTTTTGAAGTTACAGAAACAGAATTTTATTCTAGACAAAAAATGTTGTATAATTCCTTGCTTCTTAGGTTGAAAAATTATTAATATAGAGACAATTATTACCGTGTGGGTTAAATTTGCGTCTGCGCAGAAAATTCGTCAACATTCGTGAATCTTCGTACGACGAATATTTTTTGCGCAGACGCAATATAAGCTGTACGGAGACAAAATTTAACCCCAAAAACGGCGTCATTAAAATAAGACTGAAGGTTCATCGAACTTTGTCTTTTTATACGAATTTCAAGATCTTATATAAATTTTTCTTATATATGCTATTTGCTTTAAAACTACTTCTGAACACGCGCGCGGGTTTCAAGAGTATTCGAGAATAAACTTTTACCACCTGACAAAACTCATTTACCTTTTTCGTATATATGTATACAACTGTCTGAAGATCTGCTCGAATTTTCAAGCCCCCTTGTGAATCGCAAACCGAATTTTAAAAATTTCGAAACGCATAAATAAGCCAAAAATTAAGAGAGAATTTATTTTTAGAATTTAACCAAATGTAGAATTTTTATTTTGAATCGACAGCTTCGATTATATTTTTTTTTTTGTTTCTAATTGAACAGTAGTTTATTGAGGTTATCATCTTTGAGTGTGCGCTGCAAGCAGATTATCTTAACAGAACGATGTTAGGATTCCGGAGGCGAGAAAGAGATTTACCGCAAGATCTTTGCCAGGCACCGGAGACTCTATTCTGCGCCAATCGGCTCTCGTTCTTCTTAGTGTCACGCTGAGCTCGTGAGGAATCAACTCTTACGCCACGCGTTGCCTTCATTAACATATCTCAGGTGCAATCTGTTTCCCGGGATTAATGCACTGTGATATTTCTCCTACGTTGAGAGTATATAGTCCTTTCTATGTGTATATATATATATACATAAGTGAAACCGCGCTTCACAACGTCCCGCAGCGATGACCGCACCTTCATCAAAATTTTGTTTCTTTGGAAATTTTAACGAGAATATAAAAAAGATCATTTAAATTAAATTATTTTTGGAAGATAAAATATGTGACGCTCCACGAGAAAATCTTTTTCGTCTGCTAAGCACAAAACAATATATGCGCCATTATCTCTCACTTGAGTTGCAATAGTTTCGCCACAAGAGCGCTAGTATCGCTAATAACGACTCTCGAACGGGATACCCAAAAAATGGGAGCGTCACATAAAATTAAAATAAATATATACTTTAATTTGAAAAATTGGTACTTTAGGTGAAAACTGAGCGTCTAACTCCCGATAATAATTCAACGTCATCGAGAAGTGTAACGCCATCTTCTTCAAGTCATCCTGGAACGCCACCTAATGCCACGTCTTTGGGTGGACCTGAAGGTCCAGCGCCACCTCATCATCTCAAAAATATGGAACAGATGATGGGACGTAACTATAGTGACTTTATGAGAAGCCTCGCCGCAAAGTACAATAACGCTAATCCAAACGAGTGAGTTTATTTTATATTAACTAAAAATTTTTCTTTGAAAAATGCAAAAATGTATTTTTCAATTTTTTTTTTTTTTTGTACAATTTGTAAGTTTACAAATGTTAGTTACTTTAGTACTCCGAGAAATGGTTATCCACCTGGTTTGGATCCAAGGTTTCCGGCCTTCAAGACTGCTGCGACTCCATTTGTTGGCCTAATGGCTCCCCTTGGTGCACCACAAGCTCCTACAGTACCAACGACATCACCTCTGTCTAACAAAGAGTCCAAAGAGCAGAAACAGGATAATCTCTTTGGTAATCCAGTCTTTCCGCCAATGCTAGATATGTCTTCGACTCAAGCTCTTTTGCATATGGTGCGAACAGCAAATGCCGCTCAAAATGCAGCGGAACTAGAAACTTACCTCAAAGGTAATGATTCATAAATACCAAAAATTAATTTACCAAAAATTAAATTAAAAAAATGGTCATCAAAGTATTAGTGAAACCATTACTTCCAAAAAAGAGACATCGGGCAGAAAAAAAAATTTCGACAAGAAAAAAATTTTCGATCACTGCTTATATATAAATCTAATGGCACCTCAACTGCGAGAAACAGTTATGATGTTCGCCCTCCCTGTGGCGTTGAGCGAACTAAAGTCCAGAGCTGAGCCATCAACGCAGCGCGGGAACATTTGAAAAATTTGATTTTATTAGATATTTTATTTTATTTTAAATATGACAAATAATTAACTTAATAATTAATGTCATAAATAATTATTAATAACAAAATGTCATATTTAATAATTCGTTAATTATAAAATAGAATATCTAATAAAATCAAATTTTTCAAATGTTCCCGCGCTGCGCTGATGGCTCAGCTCTGGACTTTAGTTCGTTCAACGCCACAGGGAGGGCGAACATCATAACTGTTTCTCGCAGTTGAGGTGCCATTAGATTAATATATAAGCAGTGATCGAAAATTTTTTTCTTGTCGAAATTTTTTTCTGTCCGATGTCTCTTCTATTTATTGGATTTGAGACAAATTCTTTTTTTGGAAGAAATGGTTTCACTAATACTTTGATGCCCATGACTTTACCAATAATGGTCCATTATTGGGTTGTTTCATTGGCTTCCATTATTGGGCCAATGGTTACTCGTGGCAGTTTCCCATTGGATAGAATTAATTATTCCCTTTTTTTTTTTTCTTTAGGTGCAAACAAAAGAGATGCGGGAGTTTCAAGTCCCTTGGATCTGTCTAGTCCTGGTGGTTTTGCACCTCGTAAACGACAAAGAGCCGAATCAAGAAGATCAGGAAGTGTTTCACCAAAACCGAAAACAATCCCTGGACCAAGTAGTCCACCACCAGTGAGATGTCCTTCATTATGTGGTCACATGCCCTGTGGCGATGGTCAAGCTGTAAATCGTTGGACCATTGAAGATGTCGTCAATTATGTATCATCCATTGATATTTGCGCCGAATATGCTCAGGTATTTAGAAAAATTTCTTCTATAATAATATAAAAAACAATTTTTTTTTTTCTCATTTTCTTTAACTGATTATACAAAAGTATAAAATAGACATGAAAAATAATTTACAATAAATCGTTTTGCATTTTAAATAAATCAAATACCGTTTTTCCTTTTAAAAGTCACATCAGTTAAGATAACAAGAATAAGTTTTTGCGCGATTGATGAGGCATCGTTATCCTGTATGGAGTTAATAACAAAAGGCGCGCAGAGTATATATATAAGCGTGAACTAAAAAGACATGGATGGAAGAGGCATTCAATAACCAGACAGTGATCTAAAACAGAAAGAAAGAAATGTGTTCTCATTTTTTCTTTTTTCTCAATTTCTTTTAAAATTAAATTCCTTTTTTTCAAAAATAGAAAATATATTTGTTTCTTTAGCCGCAATATATCTGGGCAATTAGAGACAAAGATTGCTGTATTCGATTAGTCATAAAATTAAAGGAATAAATTTCATTAATCGAGTTCACGTTCCTTCATTATCGCAGATTTGCTGTCGAATTGCTCACAGGCTCGGCAAAATTAATTTCATCTACTCGTGCGCTAATCGCGGAGAAAGTCTTATTGCGATCTTTGCAATATTGCAATAGGGAGGGGGGAGGGGGGTTTGAATAACTCGGTACAAAATCTCGTGTGTATAAACTTAACGGTTCGATTCAGACGCGTGGTCACTATCGTTCAGCAATGGATCTCCAACTCGGTGTTAATTAGCCTAAAGGCTAAGCGCGTGGGCTTTCTCTATTGTAGATATTTTCAATATAGCAAAAAACCCTCTTCTTCTTCTTCTTCTCATTAGTGAAAAATAAATTGCCAACATTTCGAAATTAATTTTGAAAAAAATAATTTTCCAGTGCAGTTGATTTTAAAATCATTTCTCAATCTGATTTGAGATGATTTTTTGTTTTTTTTAATTTCCTTTGACAATGATCGCGAGACATTATATTTGCGTCTTAATCAAGGCACGTGAGTTTTCAAGCCATCATTCATGATTTCCACATGTGGTTCAAACACGCAGTGCAGTTACCACATATCTCCTCTGCGACTAGTTAAGACTAACCCGCATCCAACGCATACATAACATATAGACATTGTAATCTCTCTCTCTCCGGTCGCTAACAACGAGAGATCGTTTCTTGTGTATACGAGCCACTCACGTATATTGACAGCTCCTTGCAGAAGTCCAACGAATCGACAACCTACTCCATACATTGCGACGCCATACGCAGTTTCTTTTTTTTTTTTTCTCTCTCTTATTTTTCAATACTCATCCATCTAGAAAAAATAAATACTTGTTCGTCATTTCATTCGCAAAAGAAATTATATTCTTTGTTCAGAGAAATAAATAGGAGCTTTTAAATAAATATTTTTTATATAATTAATATAAATATCCGAATTATTATATTTTTTCTTTAAAAAAAAAAAAAAAAAAACAGGCAGAATTTGAAAAGTTTTTGAAATTTTATTTCTCGGTAAAAATTGCAGTATCCATTTTAGTTTGAAAATATAAATGCATCATGAAAACAAGAATCGCGTGTGCTTTTAGGATATCGGGCATTCGATCGACTAATTCTTGCACAGCTCGTTAAGCTATGACTAATTGTGGCTCGTTATGGGTCGATGCTTAATTACTCAGCGGGAGGCATTCCTTCTTCTCTCTTTCGGTCTTATCACACTCATAATCTGCTTAGCAGCAACAGGTTCCTTCTTAGGTTTTTCGCAGATCAGCTCTGATAACAATCATCTCTAGTTTTCAAAATAAAATCTTACTGCGGCTATATATTTATATAAAATCCCCTTCATATATAGTTATTTTCAACAATTGTTTTTATTAATTTAATAAAAGAATTTTTTGCCCTACAATTTATTTAATGAGAATTCGTTCACTAAATTCAAATTAGGAGAAATTTTTTTTACTAATTTTTCGAAAAAAAATATTGATTTGGTAATATTTTTTTTTACTAGTTTTAGTGAAAATTAACTAAAAATTGGCGAAAGATTACAGTATTTTAAATTAGTAGAAATTTTTACTAGTTTTTAGTAAAATATTACTATTTGATTTAGTAATTTTTTTTTTTACTAAATTGTTAGTAAATAGGATTAAAATTAGTAAAATATTTCAGTAATTTAAATTAGTAGAAATTTTCACTAATTTTTAGTAAAATCTGACTATTTAATTTAGTTATACTATTTTTTTTCTACTAAATTTTAAGTAAACAATGACTAAAAATTAGTTAATTAGTTATACTATTTTTTTCTACTAAATTTTAATTAAACAATGACTAGAAAATTAGTTAAATTTTTCTCTCATTTAAATTAATAGAAATTTTCACTAGTTTTTAGTATAATTTTACTATTTGATTTGGTAATATTTTAAATTAGTAGAAATTTTTACTAGTTTTTAGTAAAATATTACTATTTGATTTAGTTATACTATTTTTTCTACTAAATTTTAAGTAAACAATGACTAAAAAATTAGTTAAATTTTTCACTAATTTAAATGGTAATATTTTAAATTAGTAGAAATTTTTACTAGTTTTTAGTAAAATATTACTATTTGATTTAGTAATTGGTTTTTTTTACTAAATTGTTAGTAAATAGGATTAAAATTAGTAAAAGAATTCAGTAATTTAAATTAGTAGAATTTTTCACTAATTTTTAGTAAAATCTCACTATTTAATTTAGTTATACTATTTTTTTCTACTAAATTTTAAGTAAACAATGACTAAAAAATTAGTTAAATTTTTCACTAATTTAAATTAATAGTTTTCACTAGTTTTTAGTATAATTTTACTATTTGATTTGTTAATATTTTAAATTAGTAGAAATTTTTACTAGTTTTTAGTAAAATATTACTATTTGATTTAGTAATTTGTTTTTTTACTAAATTGTTAGTAAATAGGATTAAAATTAGTAAAAGATTTCAGTAATTTAAATTAGTAGAAATTTTCACTAATTTTTAGTAAAATCTCACTATTTAATTTAGTTATACTATTTTTTTCTACTAAATTTTAAGTAAACAATGACTAAAAAATTAGTTAAATTTTTCACTAATTTAAATTAATAGAAATTTTCACTAGTCTTTAGTATAATTTTACTATTTTATTTGGTAATATTTTAAATTAGTAGAAATTTTTACTAGTTTTTAGTAAAATATTACTATTTGATTTAGTAATTTGTTTTTTTTACTAAATTTTTAGTAAACATGATTAAAATTAGTACAAGTTTTCACTAATTTAAATTAGTATTTCTTTACTAAAGTTTTAGTGAAAAATTACTGAACATTAGTAAAAAGTTTTCAGTAATTTAAATTAGTAAAAATTTTCACTTATTTTTTTTAGTAAAATCTCACTATTTAATTTATACTATTTTTTGCTACTAAATTTTAAGTAAAAAAAAATGACTAAAAATTAGTTAAATTTTTCACTAATTTAGACATGTTCACTATAGTTTTTAGTATAAATTTACTATTTGATTCAGTAATTTTTTTTTTTGCTAAAGTTTTAGTTGAAAAATTACTAAAGTACAAGTTTTTGCTAAATTAAATTACTGTACAAAAATTTAAATTTAGAGAGATTATTTAAAAAAAAAATTAATTATTTTTATTCTAAAATCTCTTTTTTTTGTATTTAAATAGTTAAATTATTTAAACATTCAATAAATGTTTATGATCCAATTATAAAATAAAGATGTAATTGTGTATTTTAAAATTGAATTCACGGATATCTTAATCTTATACGAGAGTTCAAATTAAATAGCTTTAATTTCAAGTTGTTAAATGCAATTTCATGGAATATGGAGTAGAAATATCGTTAGTAAAATAAAATGAAGAAGTACATCCGCGTTTTTCTAGTTCAGCTATTGCGATGCGTGCCTCGTTATCATTTAAAAATATAATTACAAAATAAAAAGTAAACGGTTACTCCCTCAAAGATCCGCTCTTAAAATATATATATATATTCTAAATTGAAAATTATACAAGTACAGAAAAATTAATGTACTATTATAAAAAAAAATTTCCATTTAGAAATAAAACTTTTTTTTTTTATTGAATTTCTTGTAAATAAATTTCTTAAAATATAAGTTTTTAGTCTCGCACAATGAGAAATTCTTCAGAATAACAAGATTGTTGACCTGATTTTGTACTCGGTTCGATCTGTTACGTAACATTTGCACGTGTTCACTCATCTATTTTCTTGCGCTAAAGAAAAAGGATTTATATGTCATATATGTTCCTCTTTTGCTCTAATGATTCTCTCTCTTTCTCTCTCTCTCTCTCTTGTTGCTCTTTTAGAGGTGAGATCTTCCATATAAAGAGTAAATTTCTTGGTCCAATTTACGACACCAATATTTCCAAATTTGGTATCATGACCCACCGGAAATGTTGTATTGGAGTTCATGGAAAGATTTCTGACGAAACGAAGAGATATTACACGTACATATAGTGATAGTAATAGTAGTGGTAATAGTCGTTTCTCCGTTCCCATCATCGTCTCGTTAAGGCCGGAGCTCGAAATAGGAAAGCTTCATGTCAGCTTGGAAATGTGGTAAACGAAGGCGCTACCTTAAAGGGTCCGCAGACGACCCCTTCTTATAAGCAATCGTCCTAGGAATCGAAGTGGGCCTTTTGCTTTATACGCTTTAGAATCACGCAAGCGTCATAGACAGCTGGTATCTTTATCGAATCGATTCGTCTGACAAACTAGAGGATAGCGCAAGACGAATAGCCGATCTGCATGAAGTATGGAGTCGTGCGCGTTGCGATTAGTCAGGAAGACTCGAAGTCTTCGTGCTCTAATGGGCATCGTTAGGCGTCCAGCTAAGGAAAGATATGTGCGCTTACGTCTCCTCATTGCTTGCCAACTTGGTATGCCTATACTTTATATATATATACCAACGCAAGGAACACCCATTTTCTTTCTTTGATAAAAGATGCTCCTAATTTATCTCTACTTTTTTGCATTCCTTCTTCATTTTTTCCTCCAATCATTGCTTTTTATAATTCCTTGGCTTTTAGAATTAGGTAAATTTGGTTTTTTTTTTGCCAACCTTGCTGTTCGTAGTCCACGATTCTGGTATTCTTCTATTAACCAATTAATTACAACGTCACCCAAGACCCGTTCTAGTAGGTAGTACGTCGAGCACCTGGCAAACGTACTTACTTGCGAAAGCATCGGTCGTAAATCTATACTGTTTCTTTGCACACAGACTTCTTTTATCGTTAACCTTCTTTCACAGCATGCATGTATTTTCCAATTCCTAAAAATACTTGAAAAAAAAAAAACAAGATGAACATTATCGTCAACGGTACTCTAAATTTTATTCTTTAGCATTCTGCTTCAAATTAATAATTGGCGACTCCAAAAACAAGTTTCAAGCAATGTAATCCGACGTTATGAATTTTGATAAATTCTGCTTCAAATACGTAATTAGCGATTACAAAAACCCCTTTAAATAAGAATCGAATTCAGGCATTATATGATTAATGATTTCTCTTCAGATAATTATATTAATGAAATCTTTTTTCTCTTTTTTTAATTTGCGACAAATTGTAATTCTTGAATTAACTATTTAACTTTCAATGATTTGAAAAGGTCAAAACATAAGATAGTGTTCGACTATTGATTTCAGGATAATAGTATTCAATGAAGTTGCATATTGCATCGTAAACACAACGTGGGGTTCAAGTCTTCTATATGGTTATATATCACAATGAATGTTACGTATGCGGTATTGTATATATCCCATATATACATGATGTCATAAGCGATATAGGTATATATATATATCTGAGTGTGCCAAAGATTTATTATTTCGCGGTCTTCAGGTCTTGGCACGTCATGAAACAAAATGACTTTCCCAGAGAAAGTCAAAATCATATTTCGATTAGACATTTTAATTCTTCAATATAAATTGTAACATTCTTTTTTTTCTATATGTAATCGTTTATTTCAATTGTATTTCTTTTTTGTTGGAAACATTTTAGGAACCCTCGTCAAGCGCCACGCGCTATCGATGCACTAAACGAGTTTTGAATTTGCAATCGTGGGTTGGGTGTATAACTACCAGGCCTACACGGCATTTCTTGAAGCTATGCGAGAGAGTTGGCTTTTTGCGGCTGCCTCGCCCCAGGATGAAAGGGCCTTAATGATCGGCGTGGCGTGATTTATTTTTGGAAACGGTTGATCCGTCGCTCCCTTTAGATAAGGAACGCCGAAATCGCAAAAGAAATAGGTGGTTTTGAAAAAAAAAAACATGCGCAGAAAATCTTAAGGAAACGTGCCCGGAAGGAACAAACTATAAGAAGGCATTTTGCACATTTTATATTATCTGAGAACCAGACGAAACTTTCTTTTCTTATTCTAAAATTCTTTCGAAGCTAATTTTCAAGAATCAAATTTAAGGGATTTTAAGGCAGAAATCAGTTTCACAATTGAAGATATGTTTTTAGATACAACCTTTCATCTTTTCTATATCTTCATCTCTTTTTGTTTCGACATTTTTTTTTTTCATCTCTCTATATATATACGAAAGTGTAACTCACATGTTCCTGGCTAGTCGAATCACGGAGTGCACGACTTGCATCTTTCCGACACAGTCGCAGCATGAAACATGTGTCAGATATTTCGACATCCAAACTGCATTTCTAAATCATGTCGGCGGTTCACGCCATATTCATACGATTACCTCATTGCGCTTATATTATGTTGTTACTAATGGGATCTTTAAAAACATTGACGCGGTGTAAAAAAAATTAAAAGATGGAACTAAAAAATTCAACTATAAAATACAGACGCGACAAATGGAAAAAAAAAAGTTGTCTTGGTGAATAAAATCGTGTCAACAAGGAGACTCGGAGCATGTAATTGTTGAATTCCAAAGGAGCGAACTATTGGCCGAGTTTCTCTTTTTTGCACCGAAGCCAAAGCATCCTCTGGAGGCTCTATACTCTGATCGAGTTCTTGGAACGTGAAACTGGAAGGAACACGATGTGGTTGAAGCGGACGCACGCGCCGGAGGCAACCAGGAGGCTCGCGCTCTATAATCACTCTCCACTCACTATTCCAGCCACACGCGCATATAACATACACACATGCAGAATGTTCATAATGCAAAAGTGTTTCATATACATAAAAGGCAATATATATATATACGCAACACTGCAAATTTCCAGATGCAGTACTATACATACTAATATAATTCACGACGGGAGCACAGCTTTACATTACATGCTGTACACCTTCAATATTGCCCAGAAGAAGAAGAAAAAAATATATATACTCTTGCACGCCAGACTCGCACGTCTTTTTCGTTTGCTATCCACATCTGCGTAATTGTCCCCGCCGGCAGCAGCATCTGAACCATAGACGTATTTTTATACTTTACTTGTCTTCTTCTTCTTCTTCTACTTGTATTATAGTGCACGGTTCAAAAATTCTTTGGCATCGATCACGCTAAACAGATCACTGTGATCACATAGAGGATGTTCTGGATGATTGCATTTCCGCCTTTGCTTTAGTTATATTTCAATATTTTTTTTTTTACTCATTTCCATCTGAATTTAGTGCTATTAACACTGAAAAAAAGTAGTGTTAAATTTTATACATGGAAAAAAGGGTTAATTTTTATTAAGGGGGAATTTTGACTACAGCGCTTAAACGGTGGCGTCCTCAACTAGTATATAATTATTGTTACGGATAATTTCGACTACAGCGCCTAGACGGCGGCGTCTTCAACTGGGGTTTAATTTTGACTACAGCGCCTAGACGGTGGCGTCTTCAACTAGGGTTTAATTTTGACTACAGCGCCTAGACGGTGACGTTCTTAATTGGGTTTATGTTTCACTATAGTGCCTAGACGATGGCGTCTTCAACTATGGTATAATTTTGACAACAGCGCTTAAACGGTGGCGTCCTCAACTAGTATATAATTATTGTTACGGATAATTTCGACTACAGCGCTTAGACGGTGGCGTCCTCAACTAGGGTTTAATTTTGACTACAGCGCCTAGACGGTGGCGTCTTCAACTAGGGTATAATTTTGACTGCAGCGCTTAGCCGGTGGCGTCCTCAACTAGTATATAATTATTGTTACGGATAATTTCGACTACAGCGCTTAGAGGGTGGCGTCCTCAACTAGGGTTTAATTTTGACTACAGCGCCTAGACGGTGACGTTCTTAATTGGGTTTATGTTTCACTATAGTGCCTAGACGATGGCGTCTTCAACTATGGTATAATTTTGACAACAGCGCTTAAACGGTGGCGTCCTCAACTAGTATATAATTATTGTTACGGATAATTTCGACTACAGCGCTTAGACGGTGGCGTCCTCAACTAGGGTTTAATTTTGACTACAGCGCCTAGACGGTGGCGTCTTCAACTAGGGTATAATTTTGACTGCAGCGCTTAGCCGGTGGCGTCCTCAACTAGTATATAATTATTGTTACGGATAATTTCGACTACAGCGCTTAGAGGGTGGCGTCCTCAACTAGGGTTTAATTTTGACTACAGCGCCTAGACGGTGACGTTCTTAATTGGGTTTATGTTTCACTATAGTGCCTAGACGATGGCGTCTTCAACTATGGTATAATTTTGACAACAGCGCTTAAACGGTGGCGTCCTCAACTAGTATATAATTATTGTTACGGATAATTTCGACTACAGCGCTTAGACGGTGGCGTCCTCAACTAGGGTTTAATTTTGACTACAGCGCCTAGACGGTGGCGTCTTCAACTAGGGTATAATTTTGACTGCAGCGCTTAGCTGGTGGCGTCCTCAACTAGTATATAATTATTGTTACGGATAATTTCGACTACAGCGCTTAGAGGGTGACGTCTTCAACTAGGGTTTAATTTTGACTACAGCGCCTTTACGGTGGCGTCCTCAACTAAGGTATATGTTTGACTACAGCGCTCAAACGGTGGCGTCCTCAACTAGCATTTAATTATTGTTACGAATAATTTTTACTACAGCGCTTAGACGGTGGCGTCTTCAACTAGGGTTTAATTTTGACTACAGTGCTTAGACGGTGACGTTCTTAATTGGGTTTATGTTTCACTATAGTGCCTAGACGATGGCGTCTTCAACTATGGTATAATTTTGACAACAGCGCTTAAACGGTGGCGTCCTCAACTAGTATATAATTATTGTTACGGATAATTTCGACTACAGCGCTTAGACGGTGGCGTCCTCAACCAGGGTTTAATTTTGACTACATCGCCTAGACGATGGCGTCCTCAACTAGGGTATAATTTTGACTGCAGCGCTTAGCCGGTGGCGTCCTCAACTAGTATATAATTATTGTTACGGATAATTTCGACTACAGCGCTTAGAGGGTGGCGTCCTCAACTAGGGTTTAATTTTGACTACAGCGCCTTTACGGTGGCGTCCTCAACTAAGGTATATGTTTGACTACAGCGCTCAAACGGTGGCGTCCTCAACTAGCATTTAATTATTGTTACGAATAATTTTTACTACAGCGCTTAGACGAAAGCGTCTTCAACTAGGGTTTAATTTTGACTACAGCGCCTTTACGGTGGCGTCCTCAACTAAGGTATATGTTTGACTACAGCGCTCAAACTGTGGCGTCCTCAACTAGCATTTAATTATTGTTACGAATAATTTTTACTACAGCGCTTAGACGAAAGCGTCTTCAACTAGGGTTTAATTTTGACTACAGCGCTCAGACGGTGGCGTCCTCAACTACGGTATAATTTTTGTGCTACAGCGCTTAGACGGTGGCGTCCTCAACTAGGGTTTAATTTTGACTACAGCGTCTAGACGGTGACGTTCTTAACTAGGTTATAAGTTTGCCTACAGCGCTTAGACAGTAGCGTCCTAAACTACGGTATAATTTTTCGACTACAGCGCTTAGACGGTGGCGTCCTTAATTAGGATAAAAGTTTCTACTGTTTTTCTCTATTATTTAGTCAAAACGATTATTAATTAATTTAATGAACGAATTTTGCGCAGTTAATTTAGTCAAAAGCCTCAATTCTGCTAATTTGAGAATTAGAAAAAAAAAGTGAAACATAATTATACAGAAATTTAGTGCATTTGCAAATTTGAAAAAGAGAGAAAAAGTATATAATTTTTTTTTTGCTAACGTAAGCGCACGAAGTATCGGTTAAAAGGTTTATCAAGCCACGTGGCATGTGCGCTCCTGTGATTGCAGAGTTCGGTCCGTCATTACGTGACCTTAACGTGATCTTTCGGGAGGCCTTTAGGTCGGCACGAACTTGTACATATATCCCCGCCCATACTGGCTGCAAATCAGATGAAACTTTTTTGGAAAAAAAAGAAAGAAAGGGACAAAAAGATTTTTAATTGAAAAAAAATTTTTAAACAATTTCATTTTGCTAAAATAAGATCCTCGGTAAATCTGAAGAGGAAACAATTCGATGATAATCAATTAGCGTAACAGAAAATGAAAAAAAAAAAAAAATAATTGTACGAGAAGTTGCAATGAGGATTCGCAGAAAGATGAGTAGTTATATACCAGGCGCATGATATTGCAGAGAAGAATTGATTCTATGGCCTCGAACAATGAGAGTCATGAGCTCCCACAGGGGCTGACCTCTTGGCCCTATCAGCCAGACGCCTCTCGCGGGTATTGTTTATTGAACCGCCAACCAAACTGCGCTATTGTTTTTCTCAAAGGCTCTCTCATTGTCTTACCACATCGATCAAATGCATTGTCGCCACTGCGCCAACAATTTACTAATTATCATTCTAATTAGACAAAATCTTTCATCTTATTTTCAATATATATATTTTTTTTACTCTTCAAAACAGGAAAAAATTCACGAAAAAAACCTGAGCTAAAAATTACTCATTTTGAAGTGCAACAAAAATGAGTTTTTTTTTTTGCATTAAAAAAAATGGAGAAGACAAACAAAAATAAATAAGAAAATGCGACAGTGCGTAAAATAAAGTAACATAGGGGGAAAAAATGACAGTGAACTGATGCATAAAGCGATGGTCATCGACGATGTAATGACAGTGTGCAAAGACCACTATCATCATCATCATCTTCTTCTTCTTCGCGTCTTTGGCGATTTCCATATTGGTCCTTCCCTCTGGTTTTCTTCATTTCTTCACTGCAAGTAACCTCTTCTTTGCATTTTTATCTTTTTTTTTTTTTTTGTTGCTTCATTTTACCTGCTTGCACGAACCAGTGTACCGCGGCATCTAATGACAATGTAGATCTTTGCACGATATTCACGGTTGTAAGATGCATTCGTGCGTAAATCTCGAAAGACGCGACACACTCAAGAAATTATGTTGTCCATTCAAATTTAAAAAATATGATTTTATATTTTAAAAAATAATTTATTTGATTTAAATAATTTTCTCAAACTAATTTTTCAAGTCAAATTTTAAGTTTCAAATATCAGAAATCAGTTTAAATACAGTTATTTGATTCAAATACAGTTTATTTGATTCAAATAAATATATTTATTTGATAATAGTTTTCTACTAAGAGTTAGTAGTTTTTTGCTAACTAGTTATTTTTGAATGAAAGTTTAAAAAAATTTTTTTTTTTCTTTATTCTCCATAAGGAGTTGAAAACACTTTGCAAAAAATAAAATTTAGACAGATGAGCATGATGACGGTGTCATGAAATTAAATGATCCGTGGGTCGAATGAGGCATCGAAGAAGAGACGATAAGAATTAAAGGAGTTCTTCAACAGTCACGCCGAGTCACTCCCTTGTAATTATAGACACCGCGAACCAATAGGGGGTCCTTTCTCTTACCAACAATTAGAGCATTTCGGTTACCTTCTTTTATTAAACAACTAAACAATTTTTTTAAGACGACGAAATTTTTATTTATTTCCATTTTTTATATAGAAAATAAGAATAGAATTTTTATAAGAAAATCGTTTTTTTTAATATTTTTTGTTAGGAAACTTAATTGTATAAAATTATTTTTTTCCATCAATTTTATTTTCTTATATTGACACAGAGCAATGAAATTATATATCGGCTCTCGTGAATTTTAAAATCTGAAATAGGCAATTATAAAGAAGCATTTTAGAAATATATAAAAGTTTTTCGCTTAAGGCGATCGTTAA